AGCAAAGGTGCTATAGAACCTTTATCTCAAGCTCAGAGCAAAGGGGGCCTACACAGCAGATATTTTCTGGTACCGAAAAAAGATGGAGGTCTCAGACCCATTTTAGATCTGCGACAGCTGAACAGAGCGCTTGTGAAGCGCCAGTTCAGAATGCTTACGACCAGGAAAATCCTCGCGCAAGTGCGCCACGGGGACTGGTTTATGTCAATAGATCTGAAAGACGCCTATTTCCAAATACAAATAGCGTCCCATCACAGGCGATTCTTGAGATTCGCTTTCGAGGGCCAGGCATATCAATACACAGTACTGCCGTTCGGCCTGTCCCTAGCACCTCGTACATTCACGAAGTGCATGGACGCGGCGCTCGCACCCCTGAGACTTCAGGGCATGCGAGTCCTGAACTACTTGGACGATTGGCTGATTCTAGCTCGATCACGATCGGAGCTCATAGAACACAGGGCCGCATTACTCGAGCACCTCGAGGAGCTGGGCCTCACAGTCAATTGGGCGAAGAGCTCACTGTCTCCCAGTCAGAAAATGTCCTTTCTGGGAACAGTGTTAGACTCGCTATCCATGACGGCACGCCTGTCACCAGAGCGCGGACTAAATATTCAGCGCGTCGCGAAATCCTTCCGCCACGGCTCGATAGTTCCGCTCAAAAGGTTTCAGAAAATGCTGGGGCTGATGGCCTCAGCGGCCTCTGTACTCCAGTGGGGCTTGCTTCGCATGCGCCCATTGCAGATGTGGCTGAAAGCGCGGGTTCCACCCAGGGCATGGACAGCGGGTCTGTTTCGCCTCAGGGTCAACCTACAGTGTGTTTCAGCTCTGGAACCTTGGAAAATAACCGACTGGTATCAGTCAGGTGTGAGTCTGGGGACCGCTTCGAGTGTGAAGGTGGTGTCTACGGACGCCTCCACCTTGGGGTGGGGAGCACTGCTCGAGGGCAGACCGCTAGCTGGCCTGTGGTCAGAACGGGAAAAGCTCCTTCACATAAACTGCTTGGAGATGATAGCAGTCGACAAAGCGCTACGGCGTTTTTGTCCCCAGGTAACAGGCCACCACGTCTTGGTCCGGTCGGACAACATGTCAGTGGTGGCATACATAAATCGCCAGGGCGGCGTCAGGTCACGAAACCTTCACAGGCTGACGGAACGCCTCCTGGTCTGGGCTCAGCACAGCCTGCTCTCACTGAGAGCAGCGCACGTGCCTGGTCACCTGAATGTGGGACCAGACAGACTGTCCAGGAACAATGTTCCAGCAGGGGAATGGTCGCTGCACCCGCAGACGGTCCAGCTGCTGTGGAAAACGTTCGCCAGAGCACAGGTGGACCTATACGCGTCCCACGAAAACGCTCATTGCCTGGAGTTTTTCTCGAAAAGCAAGGACGCGCTGGCTCATGTTTGGCCCCGCTGCCCCCTATATGCTTTTCCTCCTGTCTCGCTCCTGCCTTAGGTGTTGGAACGAATCAGGGAGAACGGATGCCCAGTGCTGCTCGTAGCCCCGCTCTGGACAAACCAGACGTGGTTCCCTGCCCTGATGCAGCTGACCAGCACTGCCCCATGGCCTGTACCATTGAGGAGAGACCTCCTCTCTCAGGCGGAGGGCTCGATTTGGCACCCTCGCCCGGAGTTGTGGTCCCTGCACGCATGGGCCATCAATGGGTACCCGCTAGCCTCCCAGAAGGAGTGTTAAACACGATCGCGCAGGCTAGAGCTCCGTCTACCAGGCGGCTCTACTCCTCGAAATGGTCTGTTTTCTCTGCATGGTGTCAAGCCCAGAGCTTTTCACCTGTGGAATGCGGGGTTTCGGAAGTGCTTTCCTTCCTTCAAGAGCTACTGGATAAGGGCAGGACCCCATCCACGCTCAAAGTATATGTGGCGGCCATAGCAACGTTTGCAAAACCGGTGTCTGGCCAGTCGCTGGGGAAAAACGACTTAGTCGTGTGTTTCCTTAGGGGAGCTCGGAGGCTGAACCCTCCCAGGCCCCCTTCAGTCCCGACGTGGGACCTTTCCACGGTCCTGGAGGCCATGAAAGGCGCCCCGTTCGAGCCAATCCAGCTGGTGGACATGAAACACCTGTCGTTCAAAACAGTGTTTCTCATGGCTCTCGCTTCAGTGAAGCGCATAGGGGACTTGCAGGCGCTTTCAGTAAGCGCGTCGTGTATGGAGTTTGGGCCTAATGACTCGAAGGTCATTCTCAAACCTAAGCACAGGTATGTCCCGAAATCCCTCAATACACCGTTTAGGGCCCAGGTAATTTCCCTGTCCGCCCTTCCGGTTCTCAGTGAGGAGGAGGACGCGAGTCTCCTTTGCCCCGTCAGGGCATTGAGAGCTTATGTGTCACGCTCGTCTGTTTTCAGACAGACGGAGCAGCTTTTCGTTTTGTTTGGTGGGCGTTCCAAGGGACTCGCCGCCTCAAAACAGAGCCTATCCAGATGGATAGTGGATGCCATTGCGCTCGCTTACTCTGCAAAGGGCCTACAGTGCCCCTTGGGTGTCAGAGCGCACTCCACGAGAGGCGTGGCCTCTTCGTGGGCTTGGTCGAGCGGGGTTTCCCTGCAAGATATCTGTACGGCCGCGGGCTGGGCCTCGCCGTCTACATTTATAAAATACTATAACCGGGAGGTACCCGCCTTACAAGCTAAGCTTTTGGCGGTCTAAAATTCAGTGCTATCTGCCCTGCTGTGCGGCCCAGATGCTGAGTTTACTGCAGCCCCATGAGTGTTGACACACGTATGGCCACCCAGATCAGGCTGAAAGCTTTCACCCTGGCTGCGCGTTTTATTGTCATATGATAGCCACGCTGGGTGCTTTTTTATAGGGAATGACGCTTCCAGCCTCTCTTCCTCCACTCTATGTGAGTTTATGGTGATTATGCACTACATGAGCCCTAGGCTTCGGCCCTTGGGACTTTGGTGTTGGATCCCTGTACGCACGGCGTGTTGCATTGTGTTCCCCTAGCGTAAAGCTATTACGCAGTACGAGAGATACTCTCGTAAGAGAACGTACTCGGTTACTAACCTAACCTCGGTTCTCTCTAGAGAGGGAACGAGTACTGCGTATCTTGCCGTGCTTGGAATACGCTCTGGTTCGCTTCAGCGATAAAAACCAGCTTGTACCAGCCTAACGAGTATATTTATAGGGTGAGACCACGCCCTTTCTGGCGGGACGTGACGATATGGGCGCGAATTGCCCCCATTGGTCATTACGTCACGCAGAGTCTCTCTCGATAGGCTGCTGCATTTGCCGCAAGAGCAACCAATAGGCGCGCGAGCTGTCTCGCCTATGTCTGCTTGCTGCTGCAAAGCGTTTTACATTAATAAAAAATTAAGGATAATTTTTGGCTTCAATATCTCGTGGAAAAAAATTGTTTTTCCCCTAGCGTAAAGCTATTACGCAGTACCCGTTCCCTCTCTAGAGAGAACCGAGGTTACGTTAGTAACCGAGTACGTTTTCTGTAATGGGTAGTTTTTGGGGTTGGCTTAGGGTTAGGGGATAACTTTAAACTAGACACAACATACTAGATTATCCCCATGTTTGTTTTGTGAAACCCTTAACCCCTCTGTGTGTTTCATTGTTGGTTGTTGTCCTTATGGGCATCTTGTTATTGTTTATTAATTGTTCCCTTGGTTTTTTGTATGTTTCTTTGTTTTCTATTAGTTTTGTCAATAACTGTTTATTCTGAACACCCCGTGTTACAATGATCTTATTTGACTTTTTAAATAGCAACCTGTGTGTGTGAGTGTAGCTAAGTAAAAAATACATTTGTGTTGTTTTACCGTTATTATGTTCTTTTTTTTTAAAACAATTATTCAGTTATCTTTCATTTTATTATTAATCTTATGAATGTGTGATCTTCACTCGTTAGAGATGAGAGGGAATGTCTTCATTGTGTCATAAAATGAATGTGTGACTAATGGATATCAAGTCAAACATTGTAGAGTGAGGTTCAACATGACAACTGAGGCTTTGCATGAGAAAATGGAAGAAAATGTCCAAAATGCACATTAACTTTCTTTACAGACTGCACAAAATGAGTAGATTGTGTCTTTATCTTTAAACTTTAACATATTTGCATCACCTGCACGAGACAAAGATTTGCTTATTTGCTCATTTACATGTTTCTGTGAGACTATTGATGGAATACAATTAGTCTTCCGGGTTTTATGGAAACAAGCTGAAAGTCATAAATGTACTTTTGTATGCAGTGTCCTGAACTCTTTACCATCTTGCATGTCAAACACAAGATTTTTGTCTTAATAAAAATATCTCAATATATAAACAAGATCAGTTTATTTGAGAAACAAGACTTTGTATAATAAGACTTGTTTTGAGAGAATATACTTGAATTAAGTCATCTGAAAATTGTTCTTTTCCTTTTATGTATCAATTTACAAAATATAGTGGGAGTTATGCCCAAAATTAGAAAGGGCTTGAAATATACACTATTCAGACATAAAATGCAGTGTATTTTCTCATTTACTGCCATTAACAGCCTCTTTCTGAATGATTCTATACTTGTCTAAGGTTAATGACCACTGACCAGTAGTATTATTAAAAAAGACATCTTCTCAATGAATGTCCAAACGAAACCAGGCAGGCAAGCAAAAGTGGTTGAGAGATTCTGAATGACATTTATCTTAAAAAGAAATGACATAAATCTCACTGTTCTTTGTGTAAATTACGTACCACTGCAATGGAGTCTATCAATGTAGGTTTGCATGATTGAGTTTTAATAATTACTAAATAATTTCCTAATCTTAAAATGCATTCAATGCATTAGAGGGAATCCAACACATGACTTGGTGTTGCTACATTTTTTTAAATTATAAAATGTGAAACCATAAATGTAGACTACTTGTTATTTTGTGGTTGTTAGTATGTTGTTAATAAATGTTAATATCAGTTTATTTGTGTTAATACGCGTTTATATTAAAGTGTTAATTTTATAATAAAAACCCATAATCTTTATAAATGGTTGAATTTGTGTTTTACTGCCAGTTTCTGGGCCACATCTGGCCCGGGACCCAGCCGGCTCTCAGCCAGATCTGTCTTACAGTGCCTGTGTCAGGGCTCACAGAAGGAACAGACTGGATGGTAAATTATAAAGTTTATTTGTGCAGATGGATATTCAGTCGGAGATAACAGGTAAGGATCAATAACTTTGAAACATGAAACAGGCTTAGCTGAATGGATAATGTCCTTTTCTCTCTTGTAGATGGATTGGATGCAGTCACATCAAAGATGGATGGATCGGGAAGCAGGTAAGTAGCAGGTTGGTAGATGGTGAGTCTGTGAGTCATGGATAGACGAGACCAGACCGTGACTGCAGGGAGAGTGAGAGTTTTAGGCCCTGTCCCAATACCCGCACTTGCGCCCTTGTGCCCCTAAATGCGCGTTCTCGCTAAGGGGTGCAAGACCGTAGGGTGTCCCGATCCTCTAATAGTGTTCTCCAGGGGTGATCATAAGGGCACTTAATGCACCCCTTTCGCAAGTGCGCATCAGACCTCACTTTGCTGTGGGATATTACCCAGAATCCTTGTAGTGTTGTGACGTTTCGAACAGCTAACCAATGGGGGAGAATGGTTGCTATGGTGCTGTTCGGGAGCGGAAACTCCGAAGATAAAGGAAGCCGGTATGGTGAAGTGTTTTTCAAGGCCGCGAAATTAAAAAATATTAGTGTTATCGTGTCTCGAAATGTAGTTTTAAGAGTTTTTCAGTCGCGAATATAGTTGTTTAAAGCTCAAATCTGTGGTTTGTTTATAAAGATAGCGCCTATTTAAAATTTTGATCTGACTTTTTCGGAGTTCCAGGGATCAGCGGGCGCACAGCGCTCATGTACCCCGCCTGGAACAGCCTGCTAGTCATTCTGACGTTTCCCGCGGGCTCTGTGTCTAGTGGTTAAACATGAGCTTTAAATCGGCTTGTGTATATCTAACAGGCGATCTTTGATCTCATTAATCTATGATTTGTTCCCTGGCAAATCGTTTTGGCTGAGTGCAAAGTGAAGTTTCATAACTTTATATATTTATGCTATTTAACTGTAACGTTGTAACGTTAGCCTGTTGACTTCTGTTTGACTGAATCTTTTAACTTGCTTTATTTCTTGACTTATATAGCTTCTTATACTTTTTAGGCTACTTATAATTTAATAATGGCTATTATTGATCAATAAAACTGAAATTTAACAAAAAAAGACAGGGTTGTGTCATTTTATTTCATATAGCCTATGTAAGACTTTTAATATATAGCCTTAGCCTATATATAATATATCACCAACACGTCATGTATTTTTTCATGTATGGGATGGGAAGAATTTCATCTATCAATTTCCATAATAACATAATTAAAATTGCATTTCGAATCGCTGTGAATACGGTAAGGCAGTATAAGCTCAGGTAAACCCCAATCACAATTTATTTTAGCCAAAAACTGTTTTAATATTAATAACATTAACAGAAAGGTTGGTAGCTAAGAGTAAAAAAAGATATTATTTTTTTCATTCAAAGGATTGTGTCATGTTACAGCTATTATAAGCAGCACACACATTAGCCAAATGAATGGTGTTTGCTCTCCTGATCACAACAGAAGTGACGTGTGCAAAACTGTCCCAATTCTGCTCTTCACAGCTTCGGGCCCTTGCGCACTTACTCCGCTAAGTGCACTTTCAACAAGTGTCCACTTCCAGGAAGGCCTTAGGGCTCAAGTGAGAATTGGGACTGGGCCTTATAGTCCATGCTGGTGATGGGACACAGGTGACGGTGATCATGATGATGATGAGGTGCAGGTGCAGGTGATGATGACCGGGAATGCTGGGAAGTGTAGTGAAGACACAGATGAAGGAGGTGAATGTGACAGCCTGGGCCAGAGCTGGGTCATATCAATAAAAAAAGAGTCATTTTACAGGGTGTAGGCCACATCTGGGCCAGAGGAAATCGTTTGTGTCCGATTTCAGTGTGTGGGCCAGTTTTTAGCCGAGGACCCAGCCAGAACTGGGCCAGAATTGAAGAAAGGATGAGGCCCAGAGGTGTGCCTGACACATTTCCCTATCTGGGAAGTGATTGTTTTGATGTCTGACATTCACAGGTGAGGTTCCAGTCTGAATGCTGATAAAAGTTTTACTATTCAGTTTCTCTAACTGCTCTGACTATAGTCTGACTATATACCTTTTTACACTGTTTTGTGCTGTTTTGCACTGCATCATTCTAATAACAGAATGTATAAAAGTCGGTCAGTATGTTGCTGACTGAACAATTCCATACCATAAGTGTTCTTTCTTCACTTTTATGTTGTTAATGTATTTTCTTTATGGATAATTTTATATTTCTTAAGATTGGAACAATGTCTTGAATCTATTAACTAAAACTGCTTTAAACTTTAACCCCCTGGGGTTGGCAAACACGCATCTTGAATCTATTAGCATTATAATAATGTAAAAGAATAGATGTCACGGGCACAAATCCAGGCCCCCCCCTGTGCATATACCACCTCGAGGAGTTTACCCAGGGGCACCACAGACGGACAACAAGGTAAGTAACAAAAGTTCAATTTTATTGAATTAAAATCCTATTTACTAAGACAAGGGTGGGGAGGACTTGATGCCACAGTCGCGACCCAACGGGTAACGAAACAGGGAAGTCGGTGCAATCGTTCGTCTTCCGTGAGGACTGGCAAGTAGCCTTTTAGGCAACGGTAAGGAGGAGGAGGGGTGTCCCACAATGGGTCTTCCTCGGAGCGGGCGATGGTACGGAGTGGGACGGTTAGTGGGGGACAAACGGTAGACAATGGAACAGACTGTGGTACGACACTTTTGTTCAGCAGCTTAACTTCAGAGCAGGCCAGCGGCTCCTCCTCAGAACAGACAGCGACAGGCGGTGGTAAGGACTTTCATACAGCAACTTAACGTCAGAGCAGGCTGGGGAACAGACAGTCGACAATGGAACAGACTGTGGTAAGACACTTTTGTACAGCAGCTTAACTTCAGAGCAGGCCAGCGGCTCCTCCTCCGAACAGACAGCGACAGGCGGTGGTAAGGACTTTCATACAGCAACTTAACGTCGGAGCAGGCTGGGGAACAGACAGCAGACAATGGAACAGACTGTGGTAAGACACTTTTGTACAGCAGCTTAACTTCAGAGCAGGCCAGCGGCTCCTCCTCAGAACAGACAGCGACAGGTGATGGTAAGGACTTTCATACAGCTTTTGTACAGCAGCTTAACTTCAGAGCAGGCCAGCGGCTCCTCCTCAGAACAGACAGCGACGGGCGGTGGTAAGGACTTTCATACAGCAACTTAACGTCGGAGCAGGCTGGGGAACAGACAGTAGACAATGGAACAGACTGTAGTAAGACACTTTTGTACAGCAGCTTAACTTCAGAGCAGGCCAGCAGCTCCTCCTCAGAACAGACAGCGACAGGCGGTGGTAAGGACTTTCATACAGCAACTTAACGTCGGACCAGGCTGGGGAACAGACAGTAGACAATGGAACAGACTGTGGTAAGACACTTTTGTACAGCAGCTTAACTTCAGAGCAGGCCAGCGGCTCCTCCTCAGAACAGACAGCGACAGGCGGTGGTAAGGACTTCCATACAGTAGCTTAACGTCAGAACAGGCTGGAGAACAGACAGCAGAAAGTGACACAGACTGTGGTAAGACACTTTTGTACAACAGCTTAACTTCAGAGCAGGCCAGCGGCTCCTCCTCAGAACAGACAGCGACAGGCGGTGGTAAGGACTTCCATACAGCAGCTTAACGTCAGAGCAGGCTGGGGGACAGACGGTAGACAATGGAACAGACTGTGGTACGACACTTTTGCTCAGCAGCTTAACTTCAGAGCAGGCCAGCGGCTCCTCCTCAGAACAGACAGCGACAGGCGGTGGTAAGGACTTTCCTACAGCAACTTAACGTCGGAGCAGGCTGGGGAACAGACAGCAGACAATGGAACAGACTATGGTAAGACACTTTTGTACAGCGACTTAACTTCAGAGCAGGCCAGCGGCTCCTCCTCAGAACAGACAGCGACAGGCGGTGGTAAGGACTTTCATACGGCAACTTAACGTCGGAGCAGGCTGGGGAACAGACAGTAGACAATGGAACAGACTGTGGTAAGACACTTTTGTACAGCGACTTAACTTCAGAGCAGGCCAGCGGCTCCTCCTCAGAACAGACAGCGACAGGCGGTGGTAAGGACTTCCATACGGCAACTTAACGTCGGAGCAGGCTGGGGAACAGACAGTAGACAATGGAACAGACTGTGGTAAGACACTTTCATGCAGCAGCTTGACTTCAGAGCGGACAGTAAAGCAGACAGCAGATAGGATGGAAAAAACAGATAATGGTAAACAAATCTTCACCCCGCAGCTTCTCTTCGGAACACACAGCAACGAACTGTGGTATGGTCTTTCATACAGCAGCTTAACTTCAGAGCAGGCGATGGAGCAGACAGCAAATAGGATAGAGAAACAATTAATGGGAACAAATCTTCACTCCACAGCTTCCCTTCGGAACAGACAGCAACAGTCGATGACAATAAATCCTAACAGTAGTTCCTACACAACACCAGCTGAATCAACAATGGTTAGATGGGCCCTCCAGCTCCAACCTCGCAGACTTGCCCACTGGGGCTAACGGGTGGGAGCATAATTATACACCCACACTTGTGCACGCAATAAATCACTTCAAAGAGTCACACGTGTTCACTTCACACTAAGCACTGCAGTACACCTCAACTCACAGTGAATAAGGCTCCCACTCGCGGTCCCGGCCGGCGTCCTCTCCCATTGATGGATCTACTATACAGCACGGTGAAGATTACAATGCTGCTTGGACGATGTGGATGCTCAGCCACTCTTTAATCCTTGTCACTCTTACGTTATGAATCCATTCCTCCAGCCTCCCGAAACGCCGAACATAAAGGCTGCCTTCCCACGTTAATCCTTCCCTTTCTGTTCCTTCCCCTCCTTCATGCCAGAATGGCCTTTTTATAATCCCTGTAAAGGATTCGTGTCCCAATCGCCGTTAGCTTTCCTCCTCTCGCACAGCTGACGCTCGTCTCCTCATTTAGAAGTTACGCCCGGACGCAATACATGGGGAAAACCCCGGAACCAGCCTGGTGTCGCACCAAATCCGCTCCCACTCGGGAACATTTCCGGGAACAATAGTTCCGCTTGGTTCGTCACCCGGTGACATCCTCCCACACTATTTCGGTCTAGTCCCTAGACCGGGGAAGCCGAAGTCCAATCTCCATACCTCTCGGGGGGTTGACCCCGCGTCTCTCGTTGGGAGCGTCTAGGGGGCGAGACAGGGTCCTCTCTTCTCACATCCATATCTGGGCCCCTTGGGACCACCGCCCACCCCAGCAGGGGTAGTCTCGGAGGCACCGAGGCTGCCGGAATGCCTGCCGTGGGCTTCGGGTAATTTGGGCAAGGGCGCAGTAGGTTCCGATGCAACACCCGCTCCGGACCAACCTTCCCTTCGGGCCGAACGGTGTATACCGGTTGGTGAGGTCTTTGTTGTCGCTCCACCACGTACGGCTGCGCCTCCCACCGATCATTAAGCTTCCCTTTCCCGTGGCGCCGATTGTCCCGTATAAGTACCCGCTCTCCCGGTAACAAGGGAGCCTCTCGAGCTGTCCGGTCATACAGCCTCTTGTTCTTAGCGGCCGCCCTACCGATTTGGTCTGTGACTCGTTGGTAGGCCACGTGGAGCTGCTGATGATGCTGATTCACCCAATCCGTAAGACTCGGACGCTCTCCGGCCGCAGCCGTTCCCCAGAGCAGATCCATGGGGAGGCGCACATGTCTCCCGAACATCAGGTAGGTAGGGGCATAGCCGGTAGTGCTATGCACACTGTTATTGTATGCCTGTGTCAGAGCAGGAAGGTTATCTATCCAATGGCTCTGGTGGTCTGTGTCCAGGGTTCCTAATAGGCTCAGAAGGGTCTGATTAAACCGTTCGCACTCTCCGTTGCCTTGAGGGTGGTACGGAGTGGTGTGGGTCTTCTTACACCCATAGAGCCGGCACAGTTCCTCCACAACCTTGGACTCGAAATTTGGCCCTTGATCAGAATGTAGGGTTTCCGGACATCCAAACGGTTGAAACACCGTCCTCCAGAGGGCATTCACCGTAGTGATCGCTGTTTGGTCCAGAGTTGGAATCGCCCAGGCATATTTTGTGAATAGATCCGTCACCACCAAGATATTCTGGAAACGATCAGTGGGTCGGCTCAGCGTCAGATAATCCATGGCCACAATATGTAAGGGAGCCTTAGGGCACAATGGAACCAGAGGGGCCCTCACCTCTCTCCGGGCCTTAAAGAGCGTACAGCGAGGACACCCCTGGATGAACAAGTTCACGGACGCCGACATCCCAGGCCAATAGAAACATCTCCGTAGCAGGGACACCGTCCTCTCCTGCCCTTGGTGTCCCAACTGGGCATGATAAGCTTGTAACAGCGGACGAATCTGACCTTCCGGTACTACCACCTGGAGCACAGCTTCGTGGGTTACCGGGTCCTGGACAGAGCGACAAACCACTCCATCTTTTAGGCAGAGACGCTCCCGTTGTCCCAGAAGCTTCTTCACCACCCGTGTATGAGTCCGTCTCTCTGCTGCTCCAAGAGGCATCCCCCGTTCCAGACAAGACCGCACCACCACCAGGTCGCCATCTTCCTTTTGCCGTTCTTTCCATCGCTGTGGGTCCCAGCCCCAACTAGCAGGGGTTTCCTCCGGATGAACTCCGGACGCCTCTACCACTTCTACCCTCAGTTCTTCCTCATGCTCGGCCAACCGCATCGGCGGGGGGCCACCGGTATCAAACGCCGGGAGTCTGGATAGAACGTCAGCGTTAGTATGCTCTCGGCCCGGTCGAAACTGTAGCTGGTAGTCATAATTGGCCAGCTGAGCTACCCACCGCTGTTCGACAGCCCCCAGTTTGGCCGTACGTAAGTGTACCAACGGGCTGTTATCCGTGACCACGAGTACCTGGGCTCCCCACAGGTAATCTCTAAACTTCTCACACATGGCCCATTTCATGGCCAGTAGCTCGATCTTAAAGGAACTGTAATTGGAATCGTTCCGCTCCGCGGGATGGAGGCTCCTGCTCGC